ATGATGTTGTGAATATGTTAGTTACATCATTGTTAATATATTAAATCAATCAGGTGATCGATGTATTGGTGTTGTTTACGGCAAAGAAGTTGGAGAAACGTCTCCATCTATGTCGCAACAGGTTTGCCATAGGCGACATACTTCTTTCTGTAAGTAATTTTTACCTTAATATGCCTGCATACTGTTCCAATTATTTATGAAAGTCTTATGTAATCATATTTATGTACAGACTTTGCTAAACCACACAGACGGTCCATGCGCTGCTATGATGCTGGGAGTCTTGGCCTCGAGGATCAAGTATGAATGGGCTAAGGAGAAAACCATCTTCCAATACGTGTTCGGTAGAAAATCGGACCACAACACAGCATGGAGTGACGCAGACATGGTATATACCCTGATTAACGTTGGTGTGAACCATTGGGTGATGCTCAACATCTATCTTGTGGAGGGGGACGTAATTGTATGAGATTCGCTACAGTCTGCCACCCACTAGAGGCACTCGAGAAAGAGCTCAAGCCGATGTGTACGATCCTCCCAGTGGTACTTCACTACGGCGACATGTTCGCAGTACGACCGGACTTGCTAGTTGTGCCATGGAGCGTGCGTCGAGTTCGCGCACCCCAACAAAGTAGCGCGACGAATTATGGGATATTTTGTGTGAGATTCTTCGAGTATAATGTAATTGGGTCAAAGATGGACTCTCTGACCCAAGCAAATATTGTATTATTTAGGCGTCGGTACGCTGTACAAATGTGGGCACATCGACCCATTTTTTTCTAAAAATATATATGATTCAATTTCGTTTTAGTACCTCATACTTTCAATAATCACCAATGTAGAATAAGAGATATAAAATATAAATACACACAAAAAAAAATAAATTAATAATACTAAAACAAACAGGGTTACCAAAGCATGCATGCATGGTTGTTTGCTTGGGGTACAAGTTACTTTCCTATTTTTATCATGTCCACTTGATACATGTTCAAATGGTAAGGAAAAACAAATCCATACATTCACACCATGTTTAGGGGTTCGCGACATGTTTTGCGATTGTGTCTCGACGTATCACACCGACCGCACGTACGTGTTTGGCGCACCTCGCCCATGGAAGGAATCCTAACTATCTGTCGCCTGCCAACTCTACGAACCATCTTTGGTGTGGTTCCATCGGTATATTGACAAACTCTGGCGAACTGTTCCCATGTTGAGACGTGTCCAACTGGAAATATTGGTTCTACATAAGCCAATACCTAGGAGTTCGTCGTGTATGCCTCGTCACACAAAGTGTATGGATTTATGTTTCGCATCATCACCTCGGCAATAACATGAGAGCATGGAATTTTAAAATAATCAAACTCCACGACAACTACATGTCCTAAAGTTGAAATCAACAATCCCGTCAAGGTTACCATCGCGTACTTGGACATGAAACTGGTTGATGTTGACTACAACGTGTCTCCTAGCACTGTCTATGTATTCAGCAAACATATTTTCTACGTAGTCGGACAATGTGGTTGATTGGGAAGAGGCAAGCATCTGTCGATCACAGAACCAAGTCTGTAACAGACATCTAACATGGTATAATAAAGCAGTTACCGACAACCTACGCGCGTGCCTAAAAAGGGCATTTATGGACTCCCTGTTATTAGTGGTCATCTGTGTGTACCTCAATTCAGTTTGGAAACAACGAGCCCAACGCTCCTTCCTAATGTCGTCCAGGTATTCCCTCACACCAGGGTACACACCAAGCTTGGCCTAGATTGAGTTGAAATAAGACTCTCGATATGCCTTCGCAGCCTTTAGAAATAGTTGCTCGATTGCCTTTGCATCGTCTTTAAATTTTACTAACAAGTTCATCTTAATAAGTTGTATACAAAAGAAATGAAATGCTATAGAAAGTACTTTGTCAATTGCCTTACAAATGGTTTGATGTCTATCGGAAACGAAAACCAAATTGTTTACTACGGCGAGCACACTTTTTGAGTCATAAACCATACCCATGATGCTACAGTTTCACCGTCGACAATAACAAATGCTACCAGGTAAATCTGGTTATTTGTATCCACACCAAATGGGTGAAATGATTGTGTGAAAAGTTAATGTATGATAAATGCTATTTATTCACCATAAGGTAAATTCGTCTTTTTCTCAAAAATAAAAAATTTAAGGGGTCAATATTAAGTGAGGGTGAAGTGGTGTCACAGATAGATTTTTTTCAAAAGTTTCATTTATCCAATTTCAATTATTAGTGGGATCATAAATCTCAATAACCTAAACAAAACAAGCTATTGTATTCTTTGTTAGTTACATATGTTCATCAATGGCGCTAGATTTTGGGAAATTGGCTCAAATGACCTCCAAAAACTTTTGAAATGCTCAAATGACCCACCCCCTTTAATTATGCCCAAATGACCTACTTTTAACATTGATGATGTGTCAGAAGCAGGTGAAATGACCAAAATGCCATTAAATATAACAAATGACCGCTGGAATAATTCCCGGTCGAGGTAGAAAAATTCCCGCCTGAGGTAGCTTCAAAGTATTGTGAATATTATCTTTAGAAGTTTCAAGATTTTGAGAGAAGTAGTTCTTTATTTTTTATGCTTTCTCCTTTTGCGCGTTAATCTTGCTTGATGTCTACATTTGAACACATGTGTTTTTATTTAATCCTCGTTTGGTTTATTTTTGTTACAGTCGGAGTAACAATAACTTTTGTTATTTTGTTTTAAACCCATATGTTCATTCCTCTTGCACTATGCGCTCTAATTGTCGGGTTATTCTCGAGCGAGGTGATATGATTATCGGCCGAGATTCATGTTTTTGATGAACATCGGGCGAGGTACTAAACTTTCTCGACCGGGGTCAGAGGCTTTCAAAACGGAATGTTTGTTAAACTTACCTCGGGCTTGGCTGCGTATTGAACTCCACCTCGAGCGAGAAAATATGTTTCCCGCCCGAGGTTGATGTATATATATATATATTCCATCTCTAATTGTCTTTCAATTGTGCTTTGTAATGCAGAACAAAATGGTACCGAATCGAAACCCTCATACTTGGTTACGCCGAACCCGTGTACCCCCGTCGAAGACGAAGAATATTGGATTTTACTGGATGACTACGTGTCGAGGACGATTAAGCCACCAAAATTTGTTCCTCGTGTTGGATGCCGCCGCTGTATATTTTTTTTGATTCCATAATTCTCGGCCAAGTTATGGTCGACCCCGACCGCAAAATTCAATGAGCTACAAAAATAGAGATTAAAGTTCTGTACATTTAATATGAAGGTTGTTCTTTATTTCAGTTCTGCCAATATTCTCAGGCTCGAACTCGGTCGAGGTAGATACCGAGGTTGGTTTTTTTGTCAGTTGTGCAAAAAACCTCGAGCGTGAACCAGCTTACCTCGATCGTAAAATACAATGTTCTTCATAAATAAAGATTAGAATGATCCTAATATTGAAAACGCAGTCCTAAACTCCATTAATAATTGATGTTTTGTCTCAATGTATCTAAACGAGTCCCTGTTAAATCATAGTCAATATACTTAAATTCATTCGTATTATCAAATTTAACTAAGTTACGTACAAAATAAGAAAACAATTATAATGGAATATCAAAAAATAGGTCTATTCGCCCAAAGTTGAAAAGCAAGTTGCCTCCTAAAGTATGCGATCCTAGACTGTGTTAGAGTATTCAATGCGGACCCGATTACATCGTACTCAAAATACTTGACGCAGAAAATCCCACAGTCGCCACCGCCAATCTGCTGTGGTGCTGACGTAACTTGTCGAATCCGCCATGGTTGGATCGGTAGATTGGGTCGGACTTTCATAACATCACATTTGAAGAGCATTACTGGGATGATGGTGCGCATTACCTTCAAATGATCCTCCATAGCATGATCCGTGGTCATTGAAGTCAAGGAGTCCCATACTACAATCTTGCCTTCCTCGAGGTCGATACATACAAAATATATATTACTGTTAACAAAGTTTACATTTTGTAATTTTCCTCGGGCACAACCTCGGGTAAGATCGGGCCCGAGAAATCTCACAGAATATAGACTACACAAAAATATGTAAAGTCGCTCAACGTTTGTAAGCTTCTGTCATTTTTCTCGGGTTGACCTCGGGTGAGGTTATGCCC